CAATCTGAAAATTATCAACAGCATATTCATAATTGTTTGATTTTAAATAGTGAACACCTAATCTAAAAGAGGCCCATTTGATATTTTTTGATGTTTTCAGATAATTCAACAACGCTTCTTGTTCTTTTGACTTTGATAACGTATGKTATATATCAGATAAGGCAAGACTATTTTCTTCATCATCAGGATTGAGGACAACAGATTTTTCATAACAAGTCATGGCAACAGGTAAGTGTTTTATTTCTCTGTAATAATGTCCMAACTTGGTAATAAAGTCACATCTATAAGGATAAATACGAGAAGCTTCTAAGTACATTTTTCCAGCCTCAGAAAATTTTTGTTGTTTCCATAATACATTACCAAACAGTAGCAATGCATCTGCATTAGCTGATAAGTTGTTCATACTTTTTAAAGAATGTAAAGCTTCATCTAATTGACCAAATTCGCTAAAATATAATGCTTCTAAAAAGATAAAGTGATCATCTCTATCACATTTATTTTGTAATGTATTTAAATAGTTTTTTGCAGTTTTTTGATCATTTAAATTACAACTAGCTATGATAATATACTCAATTAGTTTATTATTTGAATTTTCATTAAACTTATCAACAGCTAACTGCCGTCCTTGTACAGTACAGCATTGGCGGGAACAACAATAAGCTTCAATTTCCCACATAAGCATAGTTTGATAACAGGAAAATGTTGGTTTTAAAATTTTCTTAGCTTGTTCAATACATCGTATTACATCGTCATAGCAATGAATATTAATCTGAATTTCTGTAAGTAAAAACCACGATTGCCATGAACGATTGGTAACTTGAAGAACTTTACGTAACAATTTACGACTTTCTTCAAATTCATTTAATCTTCTCAAAGCAATGCTTTTGGCTATTATTGAATTTGGGTTTGTTGGTTGTGCCTGTAGTAATACTTCACATCTTTCCATAATTGATGAACTCATTTTGTCAATTAATTTCAGTATGTCATCTTCAGGTTCAGTTATGGTCTTAATGTAATTGCTGATGAATGATTCACAGAAAAAGTTTATCACAGTAACGTTGTTATTATAGATAGATAACATTTTTTCACATATATCTACAATTTGTTGCCTTTTCCCTTTGGATTTTAATACAGGAATAAGTTTGCAATATATTTCAAATTTTTGATCAAAACTATCATCTTCACACAATGCCAGATAAATTTTTTCTAAATGTTCATCTAAAGGAGATGTATCTTCTGTGAATGGAAACTCTGTTAAAACTCTACATACAGCCAAGAATTGTGGTGTTATTTTTTCGTTTTCAATTGTTGGTAAGACAGTTGATACAAAAATTCCTAAATCCAACTTTGATTTATAATTTTTCCAAAGTTCAATGCATTTTTTAGCACGTGTTCTACACTTAGTCCCATCAGTTTCTAAACTCAATAAATTAGCATATGTGTAGAATAACTGTTGAGAAACTGTAAGCTTATCACATTTTTCATAGTACTGCTCAATGCCTTGCCAAGCAAATAAATTATTAGGAGAAAATTCAATGGCCTTTTGGAACTGTTCAATGGATTCATCTTTTTTCGATGGAATTTCTAAAAGACTGGCACCATAAAGAATCAAACCAGAAATATTTTTTGGATCATTCTTTAAGATTGTTTTGCATAGTTTTGCTGCATCAGAAAAGTTTTTTCTCATAAATTCTTCTTTTGCAAGTTTCAATTGTTGTTTAATATTGTTCTTATCCATCTTGTTAGTAAATTTGTTTTAATTTTGCATTATCTAAAAACACATACAGTAAAAGTCAAAAGAGAATACAAGCCTTAAATAGATTTACTATCTTTTTCATTGATCTTATAATAAACAGTATATTATAATATCAATGCATCTGTAAATTGTACAAGCAAATAGCATATTTACTTTTTACAAAACCATTTTAGAAAAACGTTAAACTTAATCAATTCATTATAATATTTATATTTCATACATTTAAAAATAAGAATAATATCAAAATTCAGTTTGTTTAGTTACCTATTTTGATTTTACATATTTAAACATTAATTTTTTAATTTTTTATAATAAAGAAAAATTACAAAAAAAACATTGATATTTTAAATTTAATGATTGTACAATTAAATCTTATAATTAAACAAAATTCAATTTGACTTGTTGCTGACTGACAAAGATAAAATAGTAGGTAGGTAATTAAATTAAAAACTAGTTTATTAGTATCAATATCTGCCTACTTCATAATAAAAGCCAGTATAGAAAATGAAAATTCTTTTTTCTTTAACATGAAATAGTTATCGACATTGTTTACCTTCACTTTTGAGTAATAGTGGTCAATTCATTTGATATTGTATTATTACTAATATACTTGCAAACAGATGTATAGGCTTAAATACCAAAAGATTTAATGCACACCTATTCTTGTTTATACTTCAATATAGATACATAATATGGGTAAAATAAGATAAATTAACATTTACTCACTAAATTTAGTGATGCGTAGGACAACAGGACGTGATAGTATAAATAAAATTTGTATTATGAATTTTTGCGCTGTTAGTATAATTCACATGTAAGAAACCTGAAAATTTTTAAATTTCTAAACATTATGTATTGATCATTGGTAGTTGTTATTTGTGTATTCACCAGCAAGTACCCTCCAATTGTTGATGCTCACAGTACTTTATGTCTCCCACATCAATGTTCCCAATTTTCACATTGACCGTTGACGATATTAAATTGAAACCCAAAATAGAAGTATGCAATATAAATATTGAAATTCAGTAGCCAGTAGGTTCACAAAATTAAAAAATGAGTAGTTATTAGTTAAAAATTCACCATTGAGACTCAAATCTTCAGAATATGTTGATACTTGTCATTTGATATTAATGATAATTTTATCACAGAATAATTGTGGGATTTTGAATTTTTCATGTTGGCAATTGTAAATTTGTGATAAATTTTTCCTCCTTCACACTCTATCWTGCCTTCAACGGAAGACCGCGGACTAAGATAGTATGGACTGGAAACGAACTGGTGGGCGGGTGACGGGGAGCAGGGCCGCTTATGGAATTGAGTAGCCTTGTGCGGGGGTAATGGGGCWAGTGCGAATGTAGCGCTATCACGGACTAGAATGGAACTATTAGTTATTACCATTATTATTTATTTTTATTTAATATTTATAGTTTATGTAATACATTTTTGTCATTTTTGATGTCGTAAAATGGTTTTGAGGAAAAATAGATTCTGGATTTTTAAAACGTAGGGTAGTTGTACACATTCATAACAAAAATACGCGATTTATTTATTAACCAAAAAATATTACACTACCTAGTACCTACTTAAAATTTTAATTATAAAAATACAGACGAAACAGTAAGCATTTTTTTCACTACCTAAGT